TATAGGATATTTATGAAAATATTTCATTTTTAAAAAAAAAAATAATTCCAATTTTTATGGAGTTTGAACAAGAACAATATGAGACAAAAAAAAAAAAAAAACAAAAACAAAAGAAAATACCTGGGATATGAGAATATCATAAATTTTGAATTTTCCACCCCCAATTCCGAAAAATAGAATAGCGCATAAATGACAAAATGACAATAAATTCTTAAACGATTTACTGCACGAATACAAAAAAAAATCGACAATATAACGTGCAAAAAATTTATAGGACAGTCCTTAAAAATATAAAGATTTAACGAACAACATTCAACATATGACTAAGAAAGCAACAACTTGATAAAAGATCTCAAAAGTCTATAAAATGACAAGAACCAAATAAACAATTGAGAAGTCGCAAACGATAATCCTCTGAAAAACATGCAGAAGCCTTGAAAACGACAAACAAAATATAAAATGACAAAATTATTCAATGTTAAGAAGTTGAAAATATTTTAAGAAAAGTACTTTTAATATTCAAGTTTTACTATGAATACTAATCGAAGTTTTGTTCTGCCAAAGTATATTAGTATCTATTTTACTATTAAGGAAGAGAAAACAAATAGCCTAAATTTTAGGAGTCTAGTTTTAAAGTAGTGTGATTGAAGATATGGATTAAGTATGAACGTAGTAATGATGACTAGAAGTAAGGATCGTCACAGACTTAGAGATCAATCATGATTGACTTAACGGTCCATCACTAATTGACTTAAACTTATCACTGATTAACTCGATGATTTCTTATTATTAATTAATTTTAGTTAACAATTAACTAAAATCAATTAATAATTAATGAATTTTAATCAGTAAAATATAAATTTATTAATAATAAACCACTGATAAATTATGAGTCAATCACTAATTGACTCATTAAAAAATGGCCATTTTCATAAAATAGAAAAGGCCCGATCATTTTCATAAAATTAAGAAAAATCAGCGATTTATGAAAAATGTGGTAAAAAAAGGTTATTTAGCTAATTTTTCCCTTAAAAAAGCAAAAGTTCTTTTTTTTTTTTTCCTATAGTACCCTATGTCCTCTCCTCGTTTGTTGTGTCATTGTAAGCTCTCCTTTGCTCTAACTCAAGTACCTATAGAATACATTATTGATGGAATCAACGAAGAACAGTGATAACTTGATGACAACATTGATATGTATCTCAAACTACTTATTTATCTTGTTGGACGGGCACAATGAATATGCTTTATCTCCTAGAACTAATGTCATATTTTCTACCAAATAATTGGGTGTAGTCTCGAGATGTAGAAAATGGAAGTCCACAACTCGCCTGGAGTCTTGATAGAATTGTTGGTGATGAGACCTCTAACTCGTGCTAAACACGTCCAACCCAGGAGATAAGTTATGAATAATACTGTGATGTGAAACAACCTACTCTAACTCAACTCATAAATATATACGCTTTCTCGTTGCAATTAGTCATCTTTTTTTTTTCTCAATGAAAAAGATGCAAGTTTCGTCTTTGTCTAGATGACTTGGTCATCAAGGTCTAATTATGCTTTCTATATGTCTTTGGAATCTTTCTTTGTCAAAATAATTAATTGCTTGACTAGGCACACTACATGCATTTTCCTCTGTGCATTAATGGAAGTTTTGTGCGACAACTCATTTGAAAAGTCTTTTAATGACAGTGGACCATTTTCATGGTTTTTCTTACTGCCATCAAAAGTTTTGTTGATCTGTTTGTTGTGACTCCAAGGTAGTAATTTTATAATAGAAGTTTTATGGACATGTCTATGCCCATCATTGTCAAATGAGCGTTCTTATTTATCTTGACGGGGCATTAAAGCCTTACTATTAAAGTAAGGTGGGTCCAGTTAGGTGGTAGGTTAGACCCAACCTAGCGAGAATATCCACTATTTTTGTGATTGAAGGGGTTTTATCTTCATCGGGATGAAATATATTTTTGTTTTTAAATAGGGAGACCTACAAAGACAACACCTTCTGGCCGATTGATTGATTAGCTTTCAGATAAATCATATGAACTAAATTCATCAATAGTGACTCTTGAAAGAAGGTGACAATGAAAGTAAACTAAATATAGAGTCCATAAAATGTCTTGTCGTGAGAAGACCTACAATAACCAGAGAAGATAAGGTGAAATGTAACTTAGCACAACTTGATAGAGAGTTGACGAAAAAGCTATTAGTGAAGACAATGAAAACTCAAATGTCCAATGCAAAACTCAAGTTATGGTGAGTTATAACAGGACATACAATAAATATCTTTTTGTCTTACTTGCAAGATGTGGAGAAATTCACTGCTAAAGACAGTGTCGCTAATGGTGTTACAACATCTTCTGAAACATTGTTATTAGAACCAGAGGTTGAAACGTTTGACATTGCAAATCTGATTACCCGAGAACCATCGACCATAATAAAGAAGAATCATCCAGCTGAAGGAGTCATCGGCAGCATTAATGATGGTATACGCTCTAGAGACAAACGACATGGTTAGATATGCATGCTACATCTCCAATGTTGAACCTAAGAATGTTAAAGAAGCGCTGCAAGATGAGTTTTGAATCAATGCTATGTAAGAAGAGCTGGGGCAATTTGTGAGAAATGAAGTATGGAACCTGGTTCCTAGACCAAATGATTCTAATGTTATTGGAATGAAGTGGATCTTTAAGAACAAAACTGATGAATATGGAGACATTCTAGAAACAAGGCGAGGCTCGTTGCATAGGGTTATACCCAGGTTGAAGGAATATATTTTGATGAGACTTTCGGTCCGGTTGCAAGACTTGAATCAATCCGGCTTCTGTTATCTATTGCTTGTTTGATGGGAATTAAGTTATTTCAAATGGATGTGAAAAGTGCATTTTTGAATGGATTCTTAAATGAGGAAGTATTTGTCGAGCAACCCAAAGGTTTTGAAGATCATCTTCAACCCAATTATGTCTATAAGCTCAAAAAGGCACTGTATGGATTAAAGCAAGCACCTAGAGCCTGGTATGAAAGATTGGCAAACTTCTTAAATAGGAAGGGCTATACGAGAGGGGGAGTTGACAAGACCTTGTTTATCAAGAAGTTTAAATCCAGAATTATTATTGCTTAGATATATGTGGATGACATTGTGTTTGGATCCACTTCTCAGGCAAAATTAGATGAGTTTGTTGATCAGATGAAGAAGGAGTTTGAGATGAGAATGGTGGGTGAATTGAATTACTTTCTTGGCTTGTAGGTGAAACAAATGCAGAATGGGATTTTTATTTCCCAAAGCAAATATGCAAGAAATCTGGTGAAGAAATTTGGTCTCGAAAAGTCAAGACATTTGAGAACTCCTATGGGCACAAATGAAAAAATGATGAAAGATGAGAATGGTGTTTCAGTTGATCCTAGTCTCTATCGTAGCATGATTCGAAGTCTCCTGTATCTAACAGCTAGCAGGCTTGACATATGCTTCAGTGTTGGAGTTTGTGCTAGATATCAGTCAGATCCTAAGGAGTCTCACTTGGCTGTAGTTAAGAGTATAATTCGGTATGCAAGTGGAACTGTTAACTATGAAATTTGGTTTTCTAGAGATACAAATTCTAGTTTCACAGGTTTTAGCAACGCAGATTGGGCTGATAATGCTAATGATAGAAAAAACACTTTTGGTGGATGTTTTTATCTAGGAAATAATCTTATTTCCTGGTTTAGTAAAAAGAAGAATTCAATATCTCTATCTACAGCAGAGGCAGAGTATATAACAGCAAGGAGTTATTGCACTCAATTACTATGGATGAAACATATGCTTGAGGACTATGGTATTTAACATGATGTTTTGACTGTATTTTGTGACAATACTAGTGCTATAAATATCTCTAAAAAATCAGTCCAACACTCTCGAACAAAGTACATCAACATTTGTCATCACTTTATAAGAGAACTGGTGGAAAATAAAATCGTCACCCTCGAATACATTGCAACAGAAAAGTAACTAACGGATATTTTTACATAGGCTCGTGATGCTATTCGATTTGAGTTTTAAGGACTTCTCTAGGTATTTGTGTAATGTAATCTGTTCTGTATTTAAAAAAAAAATGACATTGCGTTTTTGACTAACGACATTGCGTTTTGACTGACGACATTGCGTTTTTGATGGGGAGCTTATTTTTTCGGCAAAGGCTTAGCCTCTTCATTTGAAACCATCAGCCCCAAATATCCAGAATCTCTGAATACCCTCTCAAAGTTTCTCAGAAATCCTCTCATAATCCTCTCATAATGGTGATGACCCGAAGCAATCGAGCATTCTATCGATTTCCCACCAAGAAGCACAGGGCGCCGCCTAAGAAGGTGAGATTTACTGCCCATCGCCGGAACACTCATGCTGCCGCCGACAAAGAACCGGTCCCGCTTGCATCCCTACCTCTTTCAGAGATTGTTCTGTTCTCAGCCGCGCCAGTATTTAAAGATGGAAAGGAGATTTTCTCCACTCCACGGAGGTCTCCAGAACAAGAGAGCACCGCCGCCGCCGCTTTGGTGTCTCCGCCACCAGCCGCCTCTTCCTCCGAGGTTCCTTTACCTCTTGTTGTCATTTCGCCAGAAGAGAGCACAGCTCCAAAATGCCCATCTCCTCTGAGCTCTTTGGCCGCTGATTCACGGATTTCTCCTCCACCAAAGTGTCAGCCGCACGTTTCTCCGAGTTCAGATTCGCCATCACCTGATGTGGATTCAGTTCCCACCTCGGAATCAACACCAAACTTGATGCAATATCCTGCTCGTCCAGGTTTTCCTTCTTGGACCTCTCCGTTTCCTGTATATCCAGATGGGTTGAAGTCTGGGTCTCCTACTAACATTGCAGAGAAGATTCCTCCTCAATCCTCCAAGAAACATAATAATCCAGACGATTGCGACATTCCTTCTATTCCTGAAGTTTAATTAGTTGATGGTGAAGATTTTGTTAAAGCTGAGCGAGTTTTGAAAAGCAGTGCTAAACAGAAAAAGAAGAAGAAAGAATGTTGTTCCGGTTGGTTGGCGCAGAGTTACTCGATCAAAATCCAATCTCAAGGAAGCTGAGAATAATGTTGAGCATGAGAATCATACTGAAGCTGGAAAAAAAAGTGGAAGACTCAATCAAGAAAAATCAGAAGGACGGTTCTGATGTTGGTATAGATTCTAAATCCCTCTTTTACTCTGATTCGAACAAGAACATGTGGACATTTGTAATTCGGAGAAACATTCATTCTGAAAGACTTTTGAAGATGTCTGAATTCGAAGAATTAGGAGTAATTCAGCTTCTTAAAAGTCAGAATTTGTTTGGAACGGTGTCTAAAGCAAAACCCTTTGTGCGCAACATTGTGTTTGAATTTTATGCAAACTTGGTGTCTGATATTGCTAAGCCGGAGTCTGAGATGTTTCACAAAGTCTTTGTTAGAGGTCATATTTTTCACTTCTCCGCGGAAGTGATAAATGATTTTTATGGGAGTCATAGAGAAGCGGTGCAATGTGAGGTTGATTTTGATGCTGTGATTTCTGAGTTAACAGCCAAGGTTCAATGCAAATGACCTAAAAAATCTTTTCCAGCTGCTGAGTTGAGTGTCAAGTACTCTGTATTACATAAAATAGCTCTGGCAAACTGGATGCCAGGCTTACACACTACTAGTGTTCATAAACCTCTTGCTAAATTGCTTTTCTTGGTTAATTCTAGCACAACCTTTGATATTGGTCAGTTGATTTTTGATGAGATTGTGAGTAATGTTGAAGCTTGTACTACCCATCAAGTACTTCCTTTTCCTTCCTTGATTTGTGAAGTGTTGTTGTCTCAAAAGAATATTAAAAAGGAAGATGAGGTATCTGATAAGTTGTCAGGAGTTCTTCGCATTTCTAAGAAGCTTCGTACATGGAGGCATGTAGATGATATTCAGGGGGAGTTCAGTTCAGCAGAAGAAGATGATGTTCCAAGTAGTTCTGTCGGTGTTGCAACGAGTTCTGATAAGCAGCGAATGATCCATTTTCTGCAGCAGGAGCTTCGTGATCTCACTGCCTCTGAAGATCGTTTCTCAGAGAAAGAAGGATGTGGCTGCATTCATTATTCATTAGAGTCCTGCAGTCTTCCACCAACTCTACTTCAGCAACTTCTTCAGGAGATACTTCTGCATGAGGTTTTTGCGTCTTTTGTTGTCTTTCTTTGGCTATTTTTTTTGTCAAAAAGGGGGAGATCATGTGTATTTTTATCGTTAGTTTTTTGAATTTCTTGGTATAGAAGAATAGTTAGTTGTCGACTTCCTTGTTATAGGTTCTTATGATTAGTTTTACCAAAATGCCAAAAGGGGGAGATTGTTAGGTTTTTGTTAGTCGGCAGTTGTTTGACAAAAGGTTGTAAAAAATTCAAAAACTGTTGCAAATGATCTGTGGCATGTGTGTACAGCTGTGGGGAGTTAATTTCTGCATTTTGCTCTGGATTTGGCAAGCTGTTATCAGGATTGGGATGTTTCTTTCCATAGAAGAAGGCAGGCATTTTGGGGATGTAATCTCAGGAGGTTGTTTTTTGGTTATTTGATTGGTTCTATCTTTGGAAAGTATTTTTAGGGATGTAATTGATTGTGTAGGCTGTCAACGTTGAGGAGAACTGAGAGTGCAGAGTGTGGCTATTGACGAGAGTGTTGTGGGGTGTTTCTTCTGGAATGAGGGTGATGAACGTGCATGTTTGAAGGAAGGAAAAACACAACCTGCATAAAAGGAGTGTTATGGTGATGCCTAATTAGTGATTGAAATATTAGGCCTTCGGGAGTAGCTTGCATTGCTTTCGGGAGAAAGGTTTTGAAGACGAGTGGTGCTCGCTAGACAAAGTCGCTAAGAGGATTCTTCAGAACGGTGACTACGGCAAAGAGGGAGTCTTTGAGTGTGAAAGACCGATTGGTGACTGTAAATCTTTGAACTTAGTGGATTGTTCACTATCTGGGCGTGGTCTCACAGATGTAGATGTGCGCACCGAACTGCGATATCATTTTTGGTGTTCTTTAGTTTTCCCTTGCATCACTTTCTATTTCTGCACGTTTACAATTTTGTGTTGTTTTTTATCATCTCTGAACGTATTAGTCAATTGCGGGTATTACTAAAAGTGTTGTAACACTCTTTGTAACACCAGCGTGAAAACAGACCTTTTACTTTCTTTGTCAAAATAATTAATTGCTTGACTAGGAACACTACATGCATTTTCCTCTTTGCATTAATGGAAGTTTTGTGCGACAACTCATTTGAAAAGTCTTTTAATGGCAGTGGAGGCCATTTTCTTGGTTTTTCTTACTGCCATCAAAAGTTTTCTTGATCTGTTTGTTGTGACTTTGAGGTAGTAGTTTAATGATAGAAGTTTCCTGAACATGTCTATGACCATCATTTTTAAATGAGTGTTCTTATTTATCTCGAAGGAACCGTTAAAGCCTTACTATCAGTTAGGTGGTAGGTTAGACCCAATCTAGCGGGACCCACTATTTTTGTGATTGATGAGGTTTTATCTTTATCGGGATGAAAATTATTTTTGTTTTTAAATAGGGAGACCTACAAAGACAACACATTCTGCCTAATTGATTGATTAGTTTTCAGATAAATCATATGAACTAAATTCATCAATAGTGACTCTTGAAAGAAGGTGACAATGAAAGTACACTAAATATAGAGTCCATAAAATGTCTTGTCGTGAGAAGACCTACAATAGCCGGACAAGATAAGGTGAAATGCAACTTAGCACAACTTGATAGAGAGCTGACGGAAAAGCTATTAGTGAAGATAATGCAAACTCAAATGTCCAATGCAAACTCAAATGTCCAATGCAAAACTCAAGTTACGGTGACTTATAACAGGGCATACAATAAATATCTTTTTGTCTTACTTGAAAGACTTTGACTCTTTCGCTTGAACAATTTTCTCCAAGTAATTTCCCACCAAAAACTTCAATCAACCAATCAGATAATACTATATGCGAGCGACCCATTTGGTTCACAAGACAGGATAATATTGCTTAGGACAGTCTTAGGGGATTGGGTTGGATAGGAAAGGATAGAGTTTAGTTTTTGTTTAATCCGATGCCATGTGTGGTGTTATGTTATAGGATGGTCTTTCTAAAAATATTTAAAATTTGGTCAAATTATAGTTTTACAAATTTGAGGGGTAAAAATATAGTTGTCAAAAATAATTTGTCCCATAATAGTTGCATTTCAATCTGTGAGTTTTTTGAAAAATTATAGACATAAGTGGACGTGAGGAGCATTTTGAATGGTTTTCTATATGTCAGGGGTGTTTTGAACAATTTTGAAAAATCAGGAGTACTTTGAAAAAAGTTCCATATTTATAGGATATTTATGAAAATATTTCATATTCAAAAAAAATTTTCTAATTTTTTCGGAGTTTGAACGAGAACAATGAGACAAAGAAAAAGAAAAAACTTGGAATACGACGATATCATAAATTTTGAATTTTTCATCCCCAATTCTGAAAAATAAAACAACATATAAACGACAAAACGACAATAAATTGTTAAACGATTTACTGCACAAATACAAAAGAAAATCGACAATATAACGTGCAAAAAATTCATAGGAATGTCCATAGAAATATAAAGATTTAACGAACAACATTCAACGTATGACTAAGAAAACAACAACTTGATAAAAGATCTCAAAATTCTACAAAATGACAAGAACCAGATAAACAATTGAGAAATCACAGACGATAATCCTTTAAAAAACGAGCAGAAGTCTTGAAAACGACAGACAACTAAAAATTACAAAAATATAAAATGAAAAATGCTGGTAGTTTCCAAAAACAAAAAGCAAACAAGTTATTTCTTGAAATATTCTTTTTTTATACACTCAATATAAAAAATTAATTCTTTTATTTTGTGAAAAAAAATTACAACCTGAATTTGGATATGGGGTTACAAGTCTTAATGTCTGAGCACTATGCTAGGAAAGTAGGAATTATATGGACATTTGAGATAACGAATTTATAGACTTTTTTTTTCTTCAGATCTGGTGACAAAGGCTGTTTAATTATTTGGCTGTGAGTCTTCAATCTGATGATATATATAAACAACTATTTTAGTACGAAATTGGCTCTTCCAATTGATTCCATTTTTTAGTAATTAATTATACATAATTTTCCTCTGCATAAATAGATGCATGTTATAAGTTAAACAAAACCATAATTTGACACTTCCATTAAACAAGAATGTGAAATACAAACTCCACAACACAAGGATATTACTGAATCCTCAATAACGATTACAATTTTCCAAATATACTAGCTACTACAAGAAACCGAAGGATTACCTACACATTTTTTACTCACACATTGCAAATCTTTCTTTTACCTACACATTCTTTTTTAAATGTGTGGGTATTGGGTAATACAAGTGTTTGCACAAGGAATTTTATCTTCACATATATGTGTAGTTCAATTGAATTACTTATGCATATTTTTTGTGCCTAAAAATAGCGCCAAAAAATTTCATGGATAGAACAAAATTCCATGCTAATGTGGCAAAATTATTCCAAGAGGCATATTGTTTTACCTACTTATTTTTTACCCACACATAAAAATGTGTGGGTGAATTTTTCTTTTACCCAGACCTTTTTAAAAAAAAATGTGTGGGTAATAAATATGTTTGAAAAAGAGTTTTACCCAGTGAGACTGGCGCTTCTAATTGATTCCATTATTAGGGAAATCACGGTATAAATTTTTTTTTTTTGCATAATTAATAGATGTATGTTACAACTTAAACAAAAGCATAATTGACAATTTCATTTAACAAGTACGTAAAATACAAGCTCCAAAACATTTGGATATGACCGAATCCTCACTTACGATTACAATTTTCAAAATATACTAGCTAGTAAAGAAAACAAAAGAAAATAAATCATTCATATAACTAGTAAAGATATACATGAAAGAAGATAGTGTTGTCATCAGATCCATATATGCCTCAGTACGCCAATTTGAATAATAACACTTCATGCATCCTCCTGAACGACATCAAAACCCAGAATGCAAAAAAAAAAAATAATAATAATAATTACTTAGTTGATAAAGTTTGGTTCATAAAAGCAAACAAGAATTTATAACGGCAAACGTTCAATACAAACTTACATTACTTCTCATGGCCCGATTGTGTTTTCCTTTGCTTGCTGGTTTAATCTTTCTCTTTTGTCTTAAGCGAGCATTGATTTTGCAGCGTCGTCCTCTTCCAAATCTTTTGTGAAACCAATCATTGAAGCTTCTGCTGAAAAGGACCATGTGTCCGACAGATATTCCGATCACCGTTCCGCTTCCATATCCCATCATCACCACCTTCCAGTTTAATCTTCTCTTTTGTCTTAAGCGAGCATTGATTTTGCGGCGTCGTCCCCTTCCAAATCTTTTGTGAAACCAATAATTGAAGCTTCTGCTGAAAAGGATCATGTATCCGACAGATATTCCGATCACCGTTCCGCTTCCATGTCCCATCATCACCACCTTCCAATCAATCATTCCATTGTTGTGATCTCCATCATCATCACCACCTTGATCGTGTTGTGCACCATCATTGCTGCATGATTTAGACAGAGGAAATCCACATAATCCCACGTTTCCGTGGTATGAATCATTGTTGAACGTATCGAATTGCCTTTCGCGAGGTATTGGTCCCTCTAATTTGTTATCGGAAAGATTAAATATTTGAAGTTGATACAAATCTGCAGCTAGTTGCAATGGGATGTTTCCAAAAAGCTCGTTTGATGAGAGATCTAACCATTCAAGGTTGCTCAAGTTTCCCAAGGATGGTGGAATAAGACCGGATAGCTTGTTGTGAGAAAAATTAAGGCCTTTGAGTGAATTAAGCTTCCCGATCACTGTTGGAATCTCTCCTGTGAAGCTATTACTTGAGAAATCAATGGTTATGAACAGTTTTTGTATTTTCACTAGCTCAGTGTCGAATCCTTTAATTGTCACTGTCACAGAATAATAGATCGCACCAACATCTCGTTCTCCCATGTACACTAAGGAATCTTCATAAGCATCCATCATGGCCACCAAATTCTCAAAATATTGTGTCGGCAAAGTACCGTTGAAATCATTGTTAGAGATGTCCATGATTCTCAATTTTTGAAAGGGAAATCTCACCTTGGGATTACTTAGAGGACCAGAAAGTCTGTTAGATCTCAATATAAGAACTTGAAGCTCCGGAAGAGATTCCAACCAATGGGGAAATGACCCGTTCAGCTTGTTGTTCCCGACATCCAAAATTTCCAGCCTTTCACAATTGACTAAAGATTGAGGCAACGGCCCTTCCAACAAATTTCCGTTGAGGTTAAGATTCCTCAAGCTGTTTCCTTTTGCAAATGTTGGAGGAATCACTCCACGAAACTTATTCATTCGCAAATCTAAAACAGAGATTCTGCTAAAATTTCCAAAGCATGGTGGGATGTTCCCACTCAAGCTGTTGTTTGACAAATCAAGAACTACAATCGGGGTAAGGTTGCAAAACAGAGAAGGTATCTCTCCAACCAATTGATTGTTTGAGATTGAAAACAGAGAAGTTGAAGGTGGTGGAATTGGAAGATGACCTTGAAGCCTGTTGGAGCTAAGGTCAATATACGATAGACTTTTCCATGGAATTTTCCCAATATGAGTTAAGAGGTTGTGAGAAATATTCAGATTCCACAATGAATCCTTCCCAACGTTCCACAACCATTGGGGAACACTCCCATCAATTCTGTTGCTGGAAAGGTCCAAGTATTCTAAATTTTCCAAGCTTCTTAAAGAGTATGGGAACCCAGTGATATTGCATGAAGACAATTGCAAATACCGAAGGGTATTGGGCAAAACGTAGGTGATGGAGTTGATAGAATCCACTGATATTCTTAAAGAGTGTGGGAACCCAGTGATATTGCATGAAGACAATTCCACTGACCAAAGGGTATTGGGCAAAACGTATGTGACGGAGTTGATAGAATCCACAGATAGGCTATTAAAAGAGAGAGAGTATTTTGAGTTTTTTTAGCCTTGAGAACTGTTCTAAGTGAATGACACCACTCAAGTTATTTGATGAAAGATATAACACAGAAGGTTCACTTGCTGAAAAATTGATCTTGGAATAAGGCCCTCTAGTTTGTTTGAACTTAAATCAAGATTTACTAAAGAATTGTACTGGAATTCACTAATATGACCAGTGAATTGATTCTGATATAGATATAAATTTTGTAAAGATGGAAGGGAATATAGCCAAGAAGGTAGTGTGCCATTAAGTGAGTTTCCAAATAACAACAATGATTTCAAATTCAAAGGAAGATGGCCCACTAACTTATCACTTTCTTAAGAGTCACAAAGAAATGTTTTCCTTGTAGAATTACTACAAATTTGAGGGAGCTGGCCTTCAAAATTATTTCCTTCAAGATTTAAAAAATTCAGCTTCTCCAGATTGAGAGAATCCCATGGGATTTGACCACCAAAACTATTATAAGAGAGATCTAAGGAAGTGATTTGAGTTATGTTGCCACGCATTAGTGCAGGAAACGATCCACTGAAATTGCAATTGCTGACCTCCAAATGATTCAAATATTTTAAACTCCTAGTAAGATATGGTAAATCTATTAGGAATCTAGTGGAAGAAAGGCTCAAATTTCTAAGCGGGGTGGTCCAATTATATCTAGGAAATGAACCAGTGAGATTATAATTGTACGATAGGTCGAGCTCTTTAAGGTTTGGTAGGAGAAAAATATTTCCTGGAAATTCCCCTTTCATTTCAGTATCACTAAGATCAAGAGATATCAGTGACTCCGACAAATTCATGAAGGAATTACGAGCTACAGAAGACATATTGACACCACTCAATGACAACTCTCTCAAACTTGTTAAGTTTGCAACAATTCGTTTCAAACTAAAAGTCTCTAGTCTCAAATCATTGCTCCAACTACTAAGATCAAGTGTAATCAAACGAGACAAGTAAGAGAATTCTAGAGGGACTTGGCCACTAAAATAATTCTGGGAGAGAATAAGAGTTTGAAGATGAGTGAGAAGGAACAAACTGTTGTTGGAGTGGATAATGCCTCGGAGCCCGCTGCATCCAAGTTCAAGCCTAATGACATGACCTGTGACTTCATCACATGTGACTCCACTCCATGTGCAGCAATCCCTGCTCATATTCCAAGACATTGTACTATTAGGATTACCAATTATTCCATAGTACTTATCACAATAAGAACTATCATTGATTATGGAAAAGGAGTTCTTGAACTGAAGCAAAGCAGTGCTTTCATGGGGATGAGACAGTGGCGAAGGACGAGCAAAGGGAGAAGGCAGGGCAGGTAAAGAGGTTGATGGAGAAAAAAGGAAGAAGAGAAGGAGACTCAACAACTGAAAGAACACCATGATTTCCTGAGAAATTTAATTTATAGGCAAAATATATATAGTTGTGTTTCATGAACTCTGAATATACTAAATATATATAGTTGTGTGCATTGAGATGCTGTGCGACAATGCGGACAAGTACTCATTAGCCAACTGAAAGAACACCATGATTTCACTGAGGAAGAGAATAAAAAGGCAATGTGCTTTATGATATGGTGCCATCTTATAAAGGCTCTTTTTTTTTTTTTTAACTGTAGAATGGGAAATTTTCGAACAAATATTAAGGCATTTTGCATTTTTGTGTCATCAAACATCACCTTTTTCAAGATGATCAGCCGAGAGATATAGGGCCCGTTCACTTCACTGATTCGAGTTTGTAATTCGAGTTGAGATGTGATTTTGTGTGAGAGCTTTTTACTGTAGCAAAAAAGTTAGATGTGATTGTTTCTGAGAGCTTTTTACTGTAGCAAAAAAGTTAGATGTGATTGTTTCTGAGAGCTTTTTACTGTAGCAAAACTCGAATTCTAAACTCGAATCGGCGAAATGAACGGGGCCATATACTCTGAAGACCGCTTGATCATATTTGATATATCAAGAACAACGTTAGAGCGTGATTCACAGAAATGATTGATACAACATTTTTCCTCCTCTATTCTAGGAATCCTACCTTGGCCAAAATTTTAAATAATTAGGACCGAGAATATTGGGTTCACTATCTCCGAATATATATATACACACACACACACATATATATATATATATATATATATTAATGTAACAAATAATCGATCTTTCTTGAGTTGTGTGAAAGAGAAATAAAGTGAAGACGACTAGACGCGTGAAAGAGAAATAGAGTGAAGACGACTAGACTTTCTTTTCTTCGTCTTCCACTTATCTCACTCCGCTAAACAATATCATATCTTTATAAAATGTCTTTAGACTTCGGATAGCTAACATTATAAACGAATAAACAAAAGTAACCATTATAACTGCAAAATTAAAGTTAATAGTGCGGCGCGATTTTTATTTTTATTTTTTTTAAGTTGGCCGTGTTGTGACTTATAATGTTAATCGGTGCAGAAAACTGAGGCATTTACACGTTTTAATTTCTTTAGTCGTTGGTCTTGGTTACATAAGGCATGGATCAACTTACCAAGTTTGGCAAAAATGTGATATGATAATCAACATGGGGCCTTCCATCCAACAAATACAATTCGAATTTTTAAATAATGAAAGCCATATATCATTAAATATATATAAGTATGGGTGTGATTTTAATGGCTACTTTAATATTTACTCATCAATGGGTATTATTGTTTTAGCCACCAAATATTAATCTAAAGTTGTAATTAAAATTGAATAGCTGAAAAAAGATTAATGACAATTAATAAAATTAGATTCTTATTATGTCACTTCGTCAAATTTTTATTTTTATATGTGACCACATTTCCGTATTTGTCGACTCATTTTGACTATGGTCACTTATTTCCTCCATCATAATTTTATCTCTTTAGGTTACGAAAACCATCTAGAGCTCAAATGCTTTAGAGAAAAATGACGAATGTGTAGCAATCAAATAACGATCACCACATATATTCAACCAAAGTATCCCATATTTGTTCATATTTATGTATTTAAGTCAATGTTTTGAGCTCTCTGTGCGAACGTGTCACGTGAAAGAGTATTGTGGTTGAACGACAGCTTTATGTCGTAAACGAAGAAAGAAATTAAGAAGGCAAGGAAAAAAATAGTATAATAGATCGACATATAAAAATAAATATATATATATATATATATATTCACAAAACAAATGATTGATCTTTCTTGACTTGTGTTCTATCTTGTAATAACGGAGGTGGTCTCTTCAGTTCTCGTTTTTATTTTATTGTCCAATTCGTTTGGGTTTGTTTATAACGGTGTTGTAAGTGACCTTTGATTTATAGATATCGTGGTCTCAATCGATCAGAGTTTCCTATTAATTATAGAGGAGTTGTTGAAAGAGCTCAATTGTTAGCGTGTCTTTTCAGTTTCCTATTGTTGGAGTTTGGTGCATGCTTGCTCCCCTTAGGCGTTTTATTAAATATTACTGGTGCTATCGATTAATGGTTGTGGTTAAATTTTTTGTATTACTTATTCATTCGAGTCAATATTAGTGCCTGTATCCGTTTGATTTAGAATACATTCACCTTCTAAAAAAAATTAACGAAACAGGACAATATATTTAAGTTGATTATCACTTTGTTAAGTACAGAAAAAAAAAAAAAACATTTAATAGCGAGAGAAAATTGGAAAACAGTTAACCCATAGAGGGTCAATATTTTGTCTTTTTGTTTTTTTTTTTTTTTTTCATGCTGAAACTAGTTCTACTTCATTTGCTAATATTATATATTATCGTGAAAAATAAATGAATAAATTTAATGTGTACAAGTTACCGCTTCAGCCCAACAACATCCTCTATTTTTCTTTTCCATCTTGATCATCTTTTTTTTTTTTTGCCATTAATTTTTTAGTAGTTTTACTTCTACTTGTTGAATTTTCATCTTTCTCATCGTAGTTAACATGAATATTGCTTCACGAACCCACAAATTCCATAAAAATCAGTATTGGAATTGAGAATGTCTTTTAAGCGTACGTTTAGTATGGAGTAATATATTATTCTTGAGAATTTATGAAAGATTCTTGTATATAATTAAACCTGATAATATAAATTTTTTAGAAATCATATCACCACCTCTTATTATTTTTCCACGAATATGATTTTTATTGATTAATGGAGAAAAAAAAGAAAAAAAAAAAGAAAGAAACTCTTTGTTTTTCTCTAACTTGTATTTATTCTAATAATTCTAAGAATTAAACTTATATTTTTTTTTTGGAACCCACAATTAATATTCTTACCTCTTGCTAGAAACTGCTTACCTCTATTTTCGATATTTTCATTAACTTTAATTACCACAATTGATTGAATTAAGCAAGGCAAACTGCGAGTTTTTAGCATAAAATTGTGTGCGTTCTGTTGAGGACATTTGATATCATATATATGTTTGCAGTTAACATAATGGATCATTATTGATTAAAGAAAAAAAACAAACAATCAGTCAATCAATCAAAGATATTCAAGAGTTACTGATGAATGTGGTCCATATGATTCAACTGAAAAGTAATCAATAAATTGATGATCAGAAGATGTTGTCTTAATTTCCCAAATTCTTCTAATTGTCTTAAAAGAAATGCTTATTGGTACACTGGCTTGCACCGAAATTGCACTATTTGGAGGTGAGGTTACAATATTTTGAAGAGTATCTCAGGTGTATAACATTACAGTTAGTGTGACATGTCGTGTCTTAATTAATAAGTCTCATATTCTAATGTCCCCACATATGCCATGTCTTGGTTAATAAGTCTCTCATATTCTATTGTTGGGGATATTGCATTGTTAGGATCTCTCGATTCCGTCTTAAAAGGTTAACCTATTAAGAGGAGTAGTCGAAGCCCTTTTAAGCCCATTATTATCAATTCTAGATTTACCAATGTGAAACTTTGTTTACACATCCTTGAGAGTTGATTCCCCCCTCTCCCTAAATGAAGCCGACGGTCATAACGGCATCCCCTCAAACAATGATCCATCCATCCATCTTCCTCAAATGGGAAACTAGGAAGATCACAATTTGACAGCGTTCATCTTGCACGTACACGTGGGTATGTAGCGAAAGGGGCATTGGTTGGCCATAAATTAAGAGTATTGGCAACCATTTAAAATTTTAGGGGATATGAAAAGAAAATGAGAATAGATCTCGTTGTTGAAATAAGTTTTTATTTCGGTTTGAAACTTTGATCTTTTCAATGCTTTCGTGTTGATGATTTGATCTCCCTTTATGGTTTGGATTTATGATCATTTGTTTATGGTTTGAAACTTTGATCTGTGTTTGGAGTCTTTGGACCGAAGGTTTAATCAGTGTTTAGGAAGGTTTAATCTTTTCGTGTGTGTTCTGCATAGTTTCAGAAGGTTTAATCTATGATTGATATATGTAAATGTTTCTTTTCCGTTGTGAAAGGTTTAATCTGTGATTGCTATATGTAAATTTTCCCACAAAGTTCTTAGTGAATCACTTTTCCACCCCTAGATATGAGGTTCCTGCACAAAGTATCCCATGCTTTTGTTGTTGGATTCTTTTGCCTCTTGACACCAGCATATTGCATCTGAAACGCCTGATGACAATATTTGCGTGTGTTTTGGACTAAACTAGCCTGAGATTCAAGCATAGCTTTCTACACTAATTATCATATGGGAGAGCCCGACCATTTTCATTGGAAGAAGCAAACGACAATATGAAAATGAAACTATTGGCATCTATCTGGTTGTTATTTTATTTATGTAGTTGTAGTTTTTTGATGACCAGTTGCAGTTATTTGGAAGATAATGTTACAGGCCAGCATCTTTTATGTGTTTCAAAGCAAATTTTTACTTTAAAAATCTTGATTGTTGAGATGCTCAGTTGTCATGTATTTGGTACTTTTGTTTTGGAAGGATCTTGGACACACAATGTGATGATGCGCTTCAGAAGCAAGTAAAAATAATTATTGTAACAATGGCGCTTCATAACTATATTAGAATTCATGATAAGCGTGATCGACATTTTCAACAAATTGAAGATAAGCTAGATGTTTTCGCTTATGAAGAGCATCAACTGGAGGACAATGTAGAAGAAGATGAAGTTTCACTATCACAAGAAATGGTTGAAGTACGAGATCAAATTGCGACAAGTTTAATGAACACGACTTAATTCTTTTAATGACTGTCAATTTTTTGAAGATGTAATATACTTTTTTGTTCAACAAATTGATTACTCACTAATACTCCTTTTAGTTGTAACTATATTGTGAATGAAGAAATAAAAAAAAATAATTATCATAAATTTATTGTTAAAAAACTCAAAATTATAGCATTATGTATTTTTAAGTTAAATAAATATTTTTAAATGCCAAAAATAATTAATATATTTAAGTTACATACTATGTCTATT